AGCCCAGCCCTCGGTGTAGCTACCTATAGTGCTTCAGAACACCAGCCAGCACCTCCACACCGCTGACATCTGGTTTGTCTGCTGTCCCTTCTCCTCTTTTCCTTTCAGATACTGACTAAAGCCTGGGCGTGTGTTCCTGGTGCTCTGGGAAGTCCTATTCTTTCTCTCAAGCTACCCTACCTTCTTCACCATGCGGCTGCTTTCTCTCTCTCCTATTTTCCTGCTCCAAACAGCTATTTGCCTGTCTGTTGTTTTTCTCTTAACTGTTAATAAAAACTGTCCTCGAGCTTCTCTCCAAGTCCATTTTTAAAGTCGTCTATTAACGAGACTAAAATCCAAAAATACCATAGTTTTCCAGGTAACAAAACTACTAAGGAGAATGCAAGAAGAATTAGAAAAACAAAACAAAAAGAAAAAACAGACTCAAGAGCTACAGAAGCATAGCTGGTATACTCAAGGGTTTTAAAAATTAGAATACAGTTTTTCCAAGGACCACTGAAGTTCTCAAGAAAATGTTGGGATTCCACATTTAATACATACATTATACATTATTTTGCTTAAGAGTATAGAAAAGGGCAGGGCATGGTGGCACTCCTCTGTACTCTCAGCACCTGAGAGGGAGGCTAATAGATCAAGAGTTCAAGGTCATCTCAGCTACATGGTGAGTCTCATGCTAACCTGGCCAAATGATACTGTCTCAAAGCAACAGTTAAAAAGTAAAATAAAATCACCTATAAAAATCTCTTATACTAAATTCAGGAAGAAAATTATTTTTTTTCAGAGCCCAACACTCATCCCTGCCCCTGTAGAGATGTGATGGTGAAGTAAGACAAAAGCATCAGTAGATGGTTTTTCTTTCTTTTTTCCTTTTTTGTAGTAGATAGTTTTCCAAAGAACACTCTTTGCTAAAAGAAAAAACAAGACACTGAAATTTTAATTTACTGTTATCAGAAATAATACTCATTACAAAAGTCAACATATTGATGAATAAATCAAACTTTTTTCTACCAAAAAGAACTTAAGTCATTTCTCTTTTGTACCTGTCTACTCTGCTACAAAACAAGAACATCCATTCACGGGGCTGCTGTGAAAATACAAGACACCAGGTAGGGACGTCCTCGGCACACTGGCTGGATCACTAAGTTACAAAAGCTAATTATGCAGAGTTTATGCTCAGAACCAATACTACACACATGATAGAGGAATGACAAGTTGCAGAAGCTTCTTCATTCGAACAGTCTGTGAGGTGTCTGAATTCTATACCCACCCCATCTCCAAACCTAGTCTAGCAGGTGTTATTCAGGAAGCAAGGGGCTCCATCTTTTCCCATTATGCCTCACTGAAATCTTCACGGGAAATCAATTATTCTCATTCAAAGAAGTCCTCATGTTCTAGTAAGTACCTTTCACAAATCACTCATTTCCACTTCCCATTTTTAAATTTCTGAAAGAAAAAGGAGTGAGGATATTGGTCATAATGTGCTAGGTATAAATCCATTCATAAAACAATTTTAATATGGAAATTAACAGAGTTCAAGGCGAATATCCTAAATTCAGACCACTGCAAATAATTATAAAAAATATATATTGTAGATATTTTTAATTCACATTTATGTAGGCTAGTACCTACTTGGCTTTCACTTAAATGTCTCTTTGATTGTTTTGTTGTTGTTGTTTGTGTTTTCTGGCTTTTGAGACAGGGTCTCTCTACATGACCCAGGCTGTCCTGAAACTCACTCTGTCAACCAGAACTCACAAAGATCCTGCCTCTCTGCCTCCCAAGTGCTGGGATTGAAGGCATGCCACCACTGCCCAGCACTGATGTTTCTCCTAAGACCTGCTTTCCCACATGAATATACACACACGCATACAAAATAAATAAACATAAGCAAAAATTTTTAATCAGGTAGAATCCAACCTATTGATCTTGAATGTTTGTTTACAAATTTAGACTTTCCTTTCCATCACTGGAGGTCTGTGCAATCTCAACTTCCCAATCGGAAAGGAGGCCACAAAATAAAGGCAGAGATTGGGAGGACAAAACAGACTTCACAAAGTCTGTACACCTAGTCTTCATCATAGAGACTAACATGCTATGGGGACCTGCTATCCTCAGAGCTTTGTTTTAGATAAACACAAACTCTAGTCCAAATCTGAGGAGAGAAATGAGAGTAGGTGATAGAAACATACACGATCATGTTAAAATGAACAAAAACCTACCGATACGGCAATTATATTAAGTCCCAAGTGCCACTGCTTTGAAAGAGAAAACCAGCTTATCTATTAATAGATGCATACCTTAAGTAGGTAGAATTTGTGCTGGAAACCCTTTAGGCTACTTAGGGATGGTAAGGGTAAGAACAGGTGACTAAGGATGTTCAGTCAAGGAAGCTCACTCTAGAACACAAGCCACTGAGAAGCTCACTCTAGAACACAAGCCGATGAGAAGCTCACTCTAGAACACAAGCCGCTGAGAAGCTCACTCTAGAACACAAGCCACTGAGAAGCTCACTCTAGAACACAAGCCGCTGAGAAGCTCACTCTAGAACACAAGCCACTGAGAAGCTCACTCTAGAACACAAGCCGCTGAGAAGCTCACTCTAGAACACAAGCCACTGAGAAGCTGCCAACACTAGTGCTGCTCAGCTTTGGCTCCCGTCTGCACACATGCCTATGACTTTCTCTACATTACTGGCTGGTTTTTTCTTTACACTGACTTTATAACTGAATCCAAATGGTAATGTAGTAGGGAAACCCTACTCCTCTCTCAGCACTTGCCTTACTGATTCCACTCTCCCTTATTTCACGCAAGACACCTGCAGGATCATGTCACTGCAATTTCTTTATGGATTACCAAAAAAGAAATTTACATTTAAATTTCCCAGGTGGATTGGAACCTTCTTCTCAACCTTTTCAACGCATTATTCTCAACACATATTGTAAGAAGTTTCCATATAAACAAGAAAGGGGAACCGTAATTGTCAAGTAAGATGCGTATCATAAAACAATGTAAATAAAATAAAAATAGTGTGAAGCCAAAATTACTTTCCCTGGGTTTTGAATTTCTTTGAAATAAGAAATAAAGGTTGTCTTATTTATATAAGCTATTTTCAAATCCCTAATAACATATTCACAAGCAGAAACTGTTAAATTTAGATGTGTGGTAGTAGCTATCAGTTTGTAAAATCCAGTATTGTCTTAATTTAAACTAGCATAATTGCTGAGAAATATACTAATGATCCCTTATATTTGTGTCTAGCTCCAGTCCAATATCGAATATGTTAGTATTAGGGTCTGTAAATAACACCTATAACATTTAAGAAGAACAGAACTAAACTAGATCACCACCATGGTAGCCTTAACCACGGGAGTATTTTATCTTCGAGAACTACTTGGTATTTCTTAAGTTCCTCATAAGTAAAATACTTAATACAAATGCGTCTTTTCCTTTCCACCAGTATAACAGCATTTATTTCCCAGTGACTGCTGACTATATATCTACTGCTCTGCTTCTGCCTACAGAACTCTGGGGTGCTGGGATGACAGCTGATGTGCCCAAGAATGGGTTATTTGATGCTGCAGACTGAACCCAGTACCTCATCAATGCCAGGTCCTCTACCAACTCACCTACATCCTCAGTCCCCGAAACCGCAAATCCCCTGACCTTACAAAGGGCAACCTCTTCTTTCCCATAAAACCACTACTTAAAACTGTAATAAAATGTACCTTCAGAAGTCTAATCAGTTCCTTTTGTATTGGTTTAACACTAAATTAACAAGCACTTTGATAGGCCCTGTTTTACTTTTTAAAAAAAATAATTTAATGGCTTGGTTTTGTTTGAGACAGGGTCCCTACGTAGCCTTGGCTATCCTGGAACTCTCTCTCTGTAGACCAGGCTGGCCTGGCACTCACAAAGATCCAACTGCCTCTGCCCCCTCCCCAGTGGTGGCATTAAAGGCCTGTGCCACTGTGCCTGACTTTTCTTTTTTTCTAAAAAAACGACCACATGCTTCCCAGCCTTGACAGTCTTCCATCTTCAATGGGAACGGTTAGGGTAGTCTCCATAGCATGCAGCTGACAATATATGGCCATACAGGAGCAAACAGTGAGAGAAGAGATAAAACGTGCTATCTCGTGGATTAAAACGCTAATATGTGTATACACCTGCTATTAATAAATTCAGGCAAACAGAGAAATACGTAAAATAAAGTAATGCTTCGGGAGTGGGGGTAGGGGTGACATCACACAATAACCACAATCCCTCAACTACTGTACCGGGTCAGTAAACACGTAGAAGAGAAAACTCAACGGCACTACCCATCAACCTTTTTTAAATCATCTTGCTGGCAGGCAGATCTGAGTTCCAGGCCAGCTGGGGCTACACAGTGTGATCCTGTCTCAAACAAACAAAATAAATACAAATAAAAACCACCTTGCTGGCTGAGGGCGTAGCTCCGCGGCGGAGCTCAAGCCTGGAACTCACAGCCAGGGTTCCAGTCCTCCCCAAGATGGAAAATAGGTAAGCTATCACCTTCCAAATAAATATTATTATTACCCCTGAAGTCCTAAGAAGTTTCCCTCGTTTGCAGAATGGTGAATAAAACAACCTTTCTGTTTGGAAGCTCAAGACATACTAGCTACAGCCTGGGAAGGGGAGCAGTGTTTTAACCTTGCAGCCAGGGAAAACAGGTGACAACGGAAGGGATGCAGGACCTTGGGAGAGAAGTCGGCCAGACTCCTCCCCTTCTCGGGAACCAAGATCCTGTTCACAGCTCCTCCGCACAGACCCTCTCCCGGGGCTGCAGACCCAGAGCTCCCGAGAACTCGAGGCCCCGCGGGCGCCTGGCGGGAGCCCCGAGTTCGTCCCCGCACCCCAAGGAAGGGTCAGCCGAGGACGCGCTCCCCCAGGCCGCCTCTGAGGCCCGGCCGGCCCGGCTTCCGCCAAAACGCAGCGACCTGAGAATCCTGAATAGAGAGCCTGACGAGGCTGATAATTGTTACCTGGATGGAACTCTAGAGACGGAAACGGCAGCTGAAGCCGCTGCCCTTCTCCCCAACAACGCCTGTCTCAGCGCCACTGACATTGAGACCGCCGCCATCTTCCTGCGGGCAAACGCCTGGATGGGAGGACGGATCCCCGCTAGGGACTCACTTCCTTCGTTCTCGAGGCAGTGCGGCCGCAGTGAAACAAAATCGTGTAGTGTTTGTTTTCCTTTCGAAGTTGGGATTTAGAAAAGAGTTAAAAGGTCTGATTGGAAGAATTGAAGAGGAAAAAGGATGAAAGAAAAAAAATTAAAAGGTTCACTGAGTGTAAATGTTACCTCTATAAAAAGTAATCCTTGTTAGCAGGGTTGGTTATTTAGACTGAGGCTGAGAAGCCCGAAAGAAAATACTTCAAAAATGTAAACACCTGTAACTCATAATTTTTCAAAGAACTCAGAATATCTGTGTCTGGGCCCACTGGAAGAGCCGGAGGGCTCCTCGAGTCTTTGAGAAACTAAAGTAGTACTTTCCCAAAGTGTCGCCAGATTCTGTTTGCAAGCCTTCAGAACAGGCTGCGCTCAGTTTGATGGTCTGTAGTTACAATAATCATATTTTCCACACTAAAAATATGGCCTCGCCAAAGATTAAAAAAGAAGAAGAAGAAAGAACATATGGATTTACATGGAATCTGGCTCAGTTGGTAGAGTGCTTGCTTGGCATGGAGGTAGCCCAGAGCCTGGTGGTGCAGTCCTAAAAGCTTTTGATCTCTAGTAAACCTTTGGTGTGAGGTTGAAGGAAGAGCGTCTCTATGGAAGGTTGTCACTGGAGCTATGACGCACAAACCTCAGTCAGGAAAAGGGACGAAGCCATTCTGTTTACTCTCCCCATTTCCGTCATCCCCTCCACTTGTCATTCATCCCATTCCAATCCCCGCTGAAAGGAACAATAACCTAAGATTAACTGTCATGAGTCCTATCTAACCTTATCTGGCTCCTCAGTTCTTCAGCATCCTTTTCTTTTTCTTTCTTCCGAGGCTCGTGGTCCAACCCAGGGCGAGTGTGCAGTTTACCACTGAGCTTGTAAGAGACAGGATCTCTCACCGTGCTGTCCGAGTTAGCCACCAACCTATAGTCTTCCTCCTTCGGCCTCCCAAGTGCTAGCACAGATGTTCATCCACTAATGTGTTCAATGTCATTTCTCAGGTGATATACTCCAACACTGATGAGGGTCACTAATTTTGTAAGAGTTTAGCAGAATGCCTGAAAAAAAATGTTTTTCTAATGATATAGCCTTAGCTCCGATATTTATAATGTTTGGGGTATTTCTTTTTAAATGTATGTATTGGTATGTGTAGGCATGCAAACATGTGCCGTGACATACATTGTGGAGGTTAGAGGGACATTGGAGGAGCCAGTTTTCTCACTCCAACTATGTCACAGGCTTGGTGGCAGGTACTTTTACCACTGTGCTCTCTGACCAGAACTCTTCGGGGCGGTCTGAGTTTCTTTTTTTGCCCCAATCTTTCAAATATATCCAGCATTTGACTGTTTTCCCTGCTGCTCCTAGTAGTACTCTGATCCAAACCACAGTTCTGTTTTGCAGGGATGTTTGCATTCATTGTCCCCCCCAATCTGCTTCCACCGCAGCACAACAGTCAAAGCTATTGAGTCAGAGTAAAGAGTTCCCTTCTTTTCTATTAAACACCCAAGGGCTTTCTAGTTCAGCCCCTCGGCAGAAAAGTCAGACACCTTCTGTCATTTAAAGCTCTAAGTAGGGGCTCAGATGTAGCTCAGTGGTTCATTTGTTGACCAAGGAGAAAGGCCTGGGCACAGTCCTAGCACTGGAAGGGAAAGACTCTTGACTTCCCTTCTTACTCTGTCCCCTCAATTGCTACACTCTAAACGCAATCGCCTCTGTTATTCCCAGAATGCATTAGCCACTCTCTATCTGAGAGCCTTTGACTTTGACCTTCTCTATGCCCAGGATGGTTTTCTAGCGTCTGGAATACTCTTTCTCTGTTTATCTTGCCTTTCCTTTGCCCCTACTCTCTTTTGCTGTCCTTCATCCTACAACTTTGCTCTTATGTCACCTTCATTGTAAGGCTCTTTCTAACCTCGATGTCTACAATTTCAATACCACCCCAGAAATTTCTGTATGTATTTGTAGATTTATTTTTTTCCCATTTTGCCTTTTATAAGTTTTAGCCCTTTGTGAAAAGTCAGATATGATTTGTGAAGCAAGGTCAAAAAATCCTTTGAATAATAAAGTCAATTTTCTTCTTATGGTTTATTTTTATTTTATGAGCATTGGTGTTTTGCCTGCATGTATACCTGTGGGAGGGTGTCAAATCACTTGGAGCTGGACTAGAGAGAGTAAGCTGCCAGGTGTATGCTGAGAATTGAATCAAAGTCCTCTGAAAGAGCAGCGAGTGCTCTCAACTACTGGAGCCATCTCTCTAAGATCAATTCTCTCAGGGTTTTTATCTCACCTCTGGAAATATTTTTTGTTTTTTGATTTTTTTGTTTATTTGTTTGTATTTTGGGAGAGGTCTTAAGACAGGGTTTCTCTGTAGTTTTTGGAGAGCTTTGGACATCATTGATAAAGCCTCGAACCAACCCTGAGCCAAAATATGTCCACATTTTCTGTGATATCAGATAATACATAGCTTAATTATTATGCCACCAATTCTTAGACATGCTACGACCAGAAACATCTTTTCGAATACTCTTCTACAAACAAACCCTCTCTGAGTTCTGGGACTGCGTCAGTTCTTGGTGTAGACTCCCCTAGGGTAGTATCTGTCTCCTTCTTTGTGTCTCCTTTGCTTAATTTTTAATTCAGCGTAGTTGCTTCTTTCTTTAGAATGCAAAGTCAGTTATCTGATGAAAGGATCATATCTGTTTTTGCTGATCATTTTCCCAGCATGTAGCCTAGTTCATTATTCTCCCTCTCCTGACAGAATCTTGGTATGTAGCCCAGGTTGGTTTCAAACTCACCGTCCTCCTACCTCAGCCTACTGAGTGTTACAATTACCGGCATGCTGATTTGTTTAGCCTAGTACTTGATACATACTGGATGCGCAAAGAACTAAGTGTGCTAGTGCATACTTTTATCCCCAGCACTCAGAAGGCAGAGGCTGACAGAGCTCTGTAAATTCTAGGCTAGCCTTGTCTCCTTAGTAAGTTCTGGGCCAACCAGGACTACGTAGTAGTGTTGTGCCTCAAAACAAAAACAAAAGGAAAAGGAAAAAGAAAACTACTTATAACTTTAAAAATATAAAGTGCAAGAAAAGAATTTCTCTCTTGTCACTTAGAAAAAGTGTCTATAAATTATGTTTACTGTGGCTATTCTCTCCAATCTATACACCTCACTGGTTTCTAAAATGCCATCTTTGATCAAATGCCATTTTCTGGATACTTTGGTGAATATCACAGATAAGGACTCCATGGGGCTGGCAGGAGATCTGAAAACATAAATCTACTTTTTCTTAAGCTCTCATTAAAAAAAAAACTAATATAACTACTTTCATTTTCTGATTTCTTACATTTCAGGTAGTGAATATAAGCTGGATAATGAAGTGTAAATAGTTTGCTGTTTGGGTTTTTTAATGTAATATCATCCAAACTATAGATTATGCTAGTAGGTTCAACAGGATATCTCAATGCAAATTGCATTTTATTGTTTAAAATAGGAGCATTAGCATAGGAATTGACTTCTTGCTTGCATTTCATGCATGGTGGCCAAAAGAAACATTTAGCTTAGTATTTCTGATGGCATGTGAAATTTACAGTGGATCTAAAGTTGTCTGTTTTTGATTTTGCTCCTTGCACATGGGTCTTTAATAAAGCATCCAGAAAAATAAATTAAAACCAGATATTTCTATCAGAAGTCTCACACAAAATCACCAGAGGCATGGCAAAATTCCATCATCATTTACTGGCTGCAAACTAATTTTTTAAATCACATCTTATATTTTTATTGCTAATTTAATTGAAAAACCTTGAATTAATACAGTATCATCTTATAAAATTATTATGACCTCTGGCAGGGCTTTAGAGACCTTGGCAACCAATGAAACAATTTCCCTGTGTAGTTAGGAACTCGTTCTTGAAATCAGTTTTGGGAAATGGGTACAAACGATCAAAGCCTTTATGAACTCAAAGAATTTTCCTATGTAAACTGAATCGCATGCCCCTTCACACTCTCGAATTCTCGTCCTAAGGTTTCAACTGCTTCTATGTCCTTCTCAAACTTAAGTTGGAGAAATCAAACCAATGATGTCCTTTCTTTTTCTCCACTACTAGAAAATCTCTTGCTCCCCTATATATTCTTTGTCTTGGCAAAATACCGCTTTCCTTCTTAGAGTAGAAAGATGTCATCAGCTATAAAACTCATCATTAGTTTCTGTTCTAATAAGAAAGAAAAAAAATCCAGCAATTGAACCGTGACACAGTACCAATTACGTGTCTTGCCTTTAGAGGGAAGATGTGGGGAAATGCACATACCACAAACAAAAAGTACAGCAATTGCCTAACTTAATATATTTCCCTCTTTGTCCTTGGTCATAGAACTTGTATTTTTACTGACCGCTGGAGTAAAGGTTTTATTTTATTTTCTCTTTTTTAATTGAAGCAAGTTCCTACTAGGTCGCCGTGGTTCTTTTGCCTCGGCCTCCCAAGCACCTTATAATTAATCGGAATAGCCGTATTATCAAATTCTAGACCGTGAAATATAAGGGAAATGTGAATTGTCTTTTTAAAAATTTTTGCATCTAGGGTGATTGTGTGTGTACCATAATGCATATATCATTGAACGGGTATAGAGGTTCAAGGACAACCTTGGGAGTCATTCTGTCTTTCCACCGTGTGAGTACCAGGGATTGAGCTCAAACCAGAAAGCATAGTCACTGAACTCTCCTGTTTGTCTCATGTAGCCCAGGCTGGTCTGAAATTCACCACGCGTCTGGGAATGACCTTGAACTTCTGACCTTTCTACTTTCACCTCCTGAGTGCTGGGATGACAGGTGTATACCACCAAGTCAGCTTCAGCTTTAGTGATGCTGGAGGTCAAACCCGGGAATGCTAGGCAAGTACTCTCCCAACTGAACCACAGCCCCGGCCCTTATGTGGCAACTTTCGAGCATTCTTCTTTAAACATGTATAGTGGCCATATTTCT